TAAAATATTAGTATTTCCACTGTATCTGTGTTTGACGACTTTTATAAATAGCTGACCTGAAAAAGCCTCGGTCTACAGCTGAACGATTCATGATAACGGAATCTTCTTGATTATATCCAGTGTATGATGCAATGGCCACAATTGAGTTGATACCTGTGGTGCATTAAAGAGCAAACATTAAAGCATCATCTGGGAAACAAAGAAAAATTGCATCAATTTTATTTCACCGTATTTGCCACAGATGTTTTCACCATGGTACAGTGGAGCCTTGACTTACAAGTTTAATTCGTTCCGTGACAGAGCTCATAACTCAAATTACTCATATGTCAAATCACGGTGACGTTCGCTGCGCCAACTTGTGGTGGGGTACCTAAAGCCGGCTCGTAACCCGAATTTTTTTGAGCTTGCAACTCAAAGCAAAAAATCAGCCGAGAGAAGGCTCGTATTTCAAAAAAAACTCGTTAGTCGGGACACTTGTAAGTCAAGGCCCCACTGTAATTGTCAAAGGTCACTCCTCATGGAATAGCAATCTGTGAGCAACCACTCTGATGGCTTAACATTTAATACAAGCAAATCCTAAGAGCATTCATTCCCAATGTATCCTTTCTGATAATTAGTGATTATACATACAAGTTACCTCAGATTTATAAAGTATCTCCCCAAATCAAGCTACATGATTCTCACACTAACCCTGTGCCATAAAGAAGGTCTTATTGTTATTCTCATTATCAGAAAGTGCTAATTAAGTAATTTATGGGTGATCCAAGTTATAAAGCAATAAGCTGATTTCTGGTTTTCGGTCTAACCTGGTACTACCTCTTTCCAGTGTTACACTGCTCCTAGATCATCTCCCTATACGACCAAAAAAATGGTATTGGATCTTAGCCACCACAATCTTACTCTTAGTTGCTTTTGCCAAAAGTACTTTTGATGAGACTGTAAAAAACAAGTATTCAAGAAGGAAAAATGTTGAAAACACACTAGATTACAATATAAGGAATGATTATTCAATGTGAGTGCGGTTTCAATTAACATAATCCACATATTTGTGAATCATCAGATTTTCCAAAAATGAAAATACACTCTAAAGCTATAGTGAACGTAATATCGTGACTTAAACATTTCAAATATGGGATAAAAACTATGACCACAGAATATAAAAAACCTAAAATCTGGATGACTGGATGTTCTGCTTATCTGAATTCTGAATAATAAATCTTTTATATTTGCTTCCTTAAAGCTAAATTCAATTTTCAAACAACCCATCCTTCATAGGATGACATACCACTCATTTACTCCTCTATGTGTACAGCAGGAACGTTAAGCTTAAACAAGTGGGGTGCAGGTGAGGGTGGCAGTGCTGCTGGTCTGGGTCTGGGACACTTTAGAGACACTCCTCCAAGTCTCTACTTCCCAACCCAAACTAGAAACGGATTTGGAGGAAGAGATGTATGCCAAGGGCAGGTCCTCCTCCCTGAAAATTACATTTGCTCCTCAAGAGCTCTTGCTGCTATGCCATAGAAAGCTTTCCACCGGCTGTTTTACACACTGGCCCAAGGCAGCTGATTCCAGTTTGTTAACCTGAATTCCTTCATAACATTTTAAAAAGTAGATTCACACAAAAGCTGACTTCAAACTTTTCTTGAAAGATCAGATCTGATCAGATCACTGGGTCTGCACATACACATCACAACCACAGCTGAAACTTAATAGGGCTAAACCCAATAGAAAGGCAAACCTCTCTCTACTCACCTACTACTCACCGATCTGGCCTAACCTTTTACAAATTTGAGATTGCAAACCCATTTAACAGATAACACTAAATACTTGTGCTAAATATAATCTAGTCTGCTCTCCAAGGAAAAAGGATCATAGAAACAAGAGCACATTTGTTATTCTGAGCCCCTCAATAACTTGGTATATTTACACTGGGAGCAGAATATAGACTCCTCTGCTGAAGGAGGAAGGAGGCAGTGAGATTCTCCATGGAAGGGTAGTGTCAGGGAAGCTGAGCCTTTCCTGGGAAAGGCCAGAGATAAAGCTCCCAGTAGCAGGCAGTCAAGAAGAGATCAGAAAAGTCAAATAGTCACTTCTCAGGTATGCAATAAAAACTCCTCTTGAAATCTAAGTTATTTCCTCCTCTAAGAACTATTTAGTAACATCCACGTTAGTCATCATCCTTTTGTATGCATTCTTTGGGAGAACTAGAATAATTTTAAGTTTCACACCGTCAAGCAGCCTGATGTAGGATTCTGGAGGCGAGGGTTCCTAAAAAGAACTGAGACTTTTCAGAAATCTCAGGGTCTGGTAGAAATGATGTGATCCTACGAGACATGTGACACTTGTGAAACATGGCGTGAGAAGACTTCCCCAGCAAGTCCCCACGTTTCCATGGAGCAATGCTATGGCCACTCTTCTCCAGGTGTGCAGCCTGTGGTGCTCACTGTCTTGGCCCTTGGGAGGCTTTTCTGCCTCTTGTGTGACAATCCCTGGATTGCCTGCACAGGCTACATCTACTACAGGCCAGGAGGCAACATCCTCCATCCTACAACCTTTATCCATGGTATTTAGGCAGGTATGAGATCAGCTAAATTTAGCTAAAAAACAGTGAGCTTCTGAATTATGTATCAAATAATTTTTCTTCACTCAAAAGTCCAAAATCAAGAAGTGAAGAGGAAAGAGCATAAGAAAGGGAGATGGCAGGGGTGGGGGTTTCAAGTCAAGGCCACATCTGGTCAAAAATGAAAAAAATAAGCCGAGTTTAAATTCTGGATTTATATATTTAAGTGATATAATTTTAGGCAAATAACCTTTCTGATACTGTCTTCCACATTTGTAAAACAGAGATGACATAACCACTACTATTACTGATCAACTAACATTTATTGCTCCCTCACTGCTAGGCACTAAGCTATGACTTTCAAGTGGATTTAATCATTAACTCATCCCCAAAGCTTTATAATGTAGGTACTATTATCATTTTCATTTTGCAGGTGAAGAAACACCACAAAGCTTTTATGATGCTTAGAAATAACATGTGTAAAAGCACCCTGGATGGTGTTTCACACAAACTGAATGCTCAATAAATATTAATAACTTTGTTAAAAATATCTGTCAGCTCAAAGACTATATACATTTGAAATCTGAGATTGCAACTCACCTGCCAACCAAGTTCAAACACTTCCTGCCACTTTGTTCTCACCCACTTCAAGCCTCAGCTCTGAATCCCGACCCACTTTAAGTCAAGGTAAACTTTTTCACAAGGATCTCTGCTCCCAGAAGGTATATTAGTAAATCAGGATAACAGTACTCTACAGGAACAGGAATGATACTAATCAAAAGGACATTCCTGCCCTAGCCAGTTTGGCTCAGTGGATAGAGCATCGGCCTGTGGATTCGATCCTCAGTAGGGGGCATGCAGGTGACAGCCAATCAATGATTCCCTCTCATCATCGCTCTCTTCCTCTCCCTTCCTCTCTAAATTCAATAAAAATATATTTAAAAATAAAAATATATTTTTTTAAAAAAAGACATTCCTTATGATAAACAGATTAGCCTATTCCCATTGGTCAAGGCTCAGAATTTAGACACTGCCAGCTGGTGTGTTAGGCAGGAGCCAGATCCAATAATTCAGCCAGGATGGTCAGGAGATTGGATCCATCAGTACATTGAGCACAGAAGTAAATACACTGAGGACAATAGGAGCCAGGCTTTTCACTGTTGGAGAATACAGTCTAAAATAAACACTATGGTGTTGGATTGAGATGGGAGATACTAGTGTGAACTCACAACTCTTTGATATATCCTATATAATAAAAGGGTAACATGCAAATCAACCAAACTGCAGAACAACCAGTCACTATGACACACACTGACCACCAGGGGGCAGACGCTCAATGCAGGAGCTGCTCCCTGGTGGTCAGTGCGCTCCCACAGGGGGAGCACCACTTAGCCAGAAGCCAGGCTCACAGCTGGCAAGCGCAGCAGTGGTGGTGGGAGCCTCTCCTGCCTCTGCGGCAGCATTCAAGATGTCCGACCAACAGCTCCCGGAAAGAAAATGGCGCAGGCTGGGCTAAGGGACCTCCGCCACCCCTCTCTGCCTGCTCCCTGTGCACAATGTTGTGCCCCAGGCCTCTAGTAAAGTTAAAAAATGAGAGAAGGCCCAGCCAGCATGGCTCAGTGGTTGAGCATTTACCTATGAACCAGGAGGTCATGGTTCAATTCCCAGTGAGTTCAATTCCCAGTCAGGACACATGCCAGTGTTGCAGACCTGATCCCTAGTAGGGGGTGTATAGGAGGCAGCCGATTGATGATTCTCTCTCATCATTGATGTTTCTATCCCTCTTTCCCCTCTCCCTTCCTTTCTCTGAAATCAATAAAAACATTTTTTTAAAAAATACAAAACAAGCCAAAACCGGTTTGGCTCAGTGGATACAGCGTCGGCTTGCGGACTGAAAGGTCCCAGGTTCGATTCCGGTCAACGGCATGTACCTGGGTTGCGGGCACATCCCCAGTGGGAGATGTGCAGGAGGCAGCTGATCGATGTTTCTCTCTCATCGATGTTTCTAACTCTCTATCTCTCTCCCTTCCTCTCTGTAAAAAATCAATAAAATATATTTAAAAAAAATACAAAACAGGGTGTGTATGAGCATATGCATATATTTTTTTTCCTAGTTCTTTCAGCTGAGAGAACCTAGATGACATTCTAATAACATGGAGCACACCTCACACCCAAATTCTGGTTTCTACATACTATCCTTACTAAAAGGAGAAATAGCTGAGTCCATATTTAGGGAAAGGAAAGCACAAGCTGAGGCAAAATGTAAGGAAGTAAGTACTTAAAGAATAATGAGAAAAATAATAATGAGGAGTCATCTTGAAGATGCTCCCACTGGAAAATCAGGAACAATTTCAGCCTCCAAATGGGAGAAATGATGGAATTAGAAAATCGCCATTTGGCAGCAATCATGGTAAGCTAACAACTGAAAGTTGGACAAGGAAGAGGATATTTAGATTGCCTCAAAGTATATCCTCACAAAAGACTTATTACATACTAAAAATATAAAATACTTTATTTAACAAAAAGTGGAGGAACCTGACAGATACCATCTTGACCACATGATAAAAGTTAAAATCACTATGGGGCCTTCTGATATGATGCACTAAGAATACAGCATCGCTCCCATGCTAATTCTGCCAAAAATTCATAACCTGCATATAATTATGAGGGAAAAACAGTCAAACCCAATTTGGGGCTATTTGTACTAGTCTTACAACTTTTCTTTAAGTTTGAAATTATCTCAAAATAAAGGCTTTTAAAATAGATAACATGATTAAAGCATGAAATAATAACAGAACTGAAAGGCATATAGTTCCTACCAGCCATGCCCTCAACACTTCATCTCAGTATCAAAGGAACATTTTATTTCAAATCCAACCCTTTAGTTGTATTTCTTTTCTTCTCTAGCTATAGAGAAACTAGTTATCTAAATGTTGAAGAAAACACTGCACCGTAAGCCCAACGACATGAGTATACTGTAGAAAACCTATCATTTTGTTTTTGTAGACAAGAGTAACCCCTTGTGGAGGACTTTAAAAATAAATCATTCTCAAACTTGTGAGAATCTGTTATCAAAATTTTAGATCCTTTATTGTAGTTAATCACTTAAAGTCACTACTTACAAGGCACACTTTATTAAATAAATAATGTTACCCTCAAAGACAAAATTCTGTTCATAATACAAGACAGCTGTGCCAAAGAACTACGTATGCTGTCTCCTTTGATGTTCAACACTCTCACAGCCCTAAGCTTCTCTGCACCCTTTTGCCTGTTGTCCAGTCTCCTTGAGAATCTCCTCCAGCAAACTCCTGATTCTCCTCTTTATCAGCTACATCTCAAAGCCTCTCTCCCGATTTCCTTTCCTGCTGCCTAACGTTCTGTCTGTCTCTGGCTGTATTCTAACTCTGAATTTAACCTCAGCAATTTCATAGTAATCTCTAGTTACCATCAATAGATCAAAAACTTAACAGCTCTAGAGTTGACTTTCTTTAAAACCATATTTGCAACTCACTACTGGAAGATCATTTCTTAGATACTTAGGTAGCAACTCAAAATCAACATGTCAAAAACTGAATTTATATTACCTCTACAACTTCTTCCTTCTTCTACTGTGCTCCAATTTTATTAATACTACCTCTCTCCCCTTGCTCACCCAAGCAAGGAACCACCTCTTCATTGTTCCACATCCACCCAGTCAACAGGTCCTATCAAGTGTATTCTAACATGTATCACCCCTTAGTCTTTTTCATTTCTTTGGGACCTTACCATTTCTCACTTAGACCGAGGCAAAAACCTCTAAATTACCTCTGTGCTAATACTGTATCTGACTCTGATCTACTCTCAGACAAGTGCCACATGATATTCCTAATAGAACATTCTAATTGTATTACTTCCTTGCTCAAAAAGGTCTTCATTCTCCAAATGACATTCAACCTGCTCTCCTGCACACTGTGA